TGGGTCACAAATCAAGTCTCAGTAAATTTAAGAAAATTGAAATCATAGCATGCATCTTTTCCAACCACAATGCTATGAGGTTAGAAATCAATTACAGGAAAAAAAAACTGTAAAAAACACAAACACATGGAAGCTAAGCAATATGGTACTAGATAACCAATGGATCACTGAAGAAATCAAAGAGGAAATAAAAAATACCTAGAAACACATGACAACGAAAACACGATGACCCAAAACCTATGGGATGCAGCAAAAGCAGTTCTAAGAGGGGACTTTATAGCAATACAGTCTTACCTCTAGATACAAGAAAAATGTCAAATAAACAACCTAACCTTACACCTAAAGGAACTAGAGAAAGAAGAACAAACAAAACCCAAAGTTAGTAGAAGGAAAGAAATGATAAAGATCAGAGCAGAAATAAATGAAATAGAGACAAAGAAAACAATTAAAAATGATTAGTGAAACTAAAAGCTGATTCTTTCATAAGATAAACAAAATTGATAAACCCTTAGCCATACTCATCAAGAAGAAAAGGGAGATGACTCAAATCAATAAAATTAGAAATGAAAAAGAAGTTACAACTGACACCACAGAAATACAAAGGCTCATAAGTACTACCACAAGCAGTTATATGCCAATAAAATGGACAACCTGGAAGAAATGGACAAATTCTTAGAAAGGTACAGCCTTCCAAGACTGAACAAGGAAGAAATAGAAAATAGGAATAGACCAATCACAAGTAATGAAATTGAAACTGTTATTAAAAATCTTCCAACAAACAAAAGTCCGGGACCAGATGGCTTCACAGGTGAATTCTGTCAAACATTTAGAGAAGAGCTAGCACCTATCCTTCTCAAACTCTTCCCAAGAAATTGCAGAGAAAGGAACACTCCCAAGCTCATTCTACGAGGCCACTATCACCCTGATACCAAAACCAGAAAAAGATATCACGAAAAAAGAAAATGATAGTCCAATATCACTGACGAACATAGACACAAAAATCCTCAAGAAAATACTAGCAAACAGAATCCAGCAACACATTAAAAGTATCAGACACCATGATCAAGTGTGATTTATCCCAGGGATGCAAGGATTCTTCAATATACACAAATCATTCGATGTGATACACCATATTAACAAATTGAAGAATAAAAACCATATGATCATCTCCATAGATGCAGAAAATGCTTTTGACAAAATTCAACACCCATATATGATAAAAACTCTCCAGAAAGTGGGCATAGAGGGAACCTACCTCAACATAATAAAGGCCATATACGACAAACCCACAGCAAACATCATTCTCAATGGTGAAAAACTGAAAGCATTTCCTGTAAGATCAGGAACAAGACAAGGATGTTCACTCTCACCACTATTATTCAACATAGTTTTGGAAGTCCTAGCCATGGCAATCAGAGAAGAAAAAGAAATAAAAGGAATACAAATTGGAAAAGAAGAAGTAAAACTGTCACTGTTTGCAGATGACATGATACTATACATAGAGAATCCTAAAGACCCTACCAGAAAACTACTAGAGCTGATCAATGAATTTGGTAAAGTTGCAGGATACAAAGTTAATACACAGAAATCTCTTACATTCCTATACACTAACAGTGAAAAATTAGAAAGAGAAGTTAAAGAAACACTCCCATTTACCATCACAACAAAAAGAATAAAATACCTAGGAATAAACCTACTTAAGGAGGCAAAAGACCTGTACTCAGAAAAGTATAAGACACTGATGAAAGATATCAAAGATGACACAAACAGATGGAGAGATATACCATGTTCTTGGATTGGAAGAATCAATATTGTGAAAGTGGCTATACTATCTAAAGCAATCTACAGATTTAGTGCAACCCCTGTCAAATTACCAATGGCATTTATCACAGAATTAGAATAAAAAATTTTACAATTTGTGTGAAAACAAAAAAGACCCCGAATAGACAAAGCAATCTTGAGAAAGAAAAATGGAGCTGGAGGAATCAGGCTCCCTGACTTCAGAGTATACTATGAAGCTACAGTAATCAAAACAGTATGGTACAGGCACAAAAACAAATATAAATCAATGGAACAGGATAGAAAGCCCAGAGATAAACCCATACACCTTTGGTCACCTAATCTCTGACAAAGGAGGCAAGAATATACAATGGAGAAAAGATGGTCTCTTCAATAAGTGGTGCTGGAAAAATAAGACAGCTACATGTAAAAGAATTAAATTAGAACACTCCCTACACCATACACAAAAATAAACTCAAAATGGATTAAAGACCTAAATGTAAGGCCAGACACTATAAAACTCTTAGAGGAAAACATAGGCAGAACACTCTATGACATAAATCGCAGCAAGATCTTTTTTGATCCACCTCCTAGAGTGATGAAAATAAAAAACAAAAATAATAAATGGCATCTAATTAAACTTAAAATCTTTTGCACAGCAAAGGAAAGCATAAACAAAACAAAAAGACAACCTTCAGAATGAGAGAAAATATTTGCAAACGAAGCAAGCAACAAGGGATTAATCTCCAAAATATACAAACGACTTGTGCAGCTTAATGTCAAAAAAACAAGTAACCCAATCAAAAAATGGGCAGGAGATCTAAATAGACATTTCTACAAAGAAGACATATGGATGGCCAAAAAGCACATGAAAAGATGCTCAACATCACTAATTATTAGAGGAACGCAAATCAAAACTACAATGAGGTATCACCTCACAGCAGTCAGAATGGCCATCATCAAAAAATCTACAAACAATAAATTCTGGAGAGGGTGTGGAGAAAAGGGAACCCTCCTACACTTTTGGTGGCACTGTAAATTGGTGCAGCCACTGTGGAGAACAGTATGGATTTTCCTTAAAAAACTAGAAATAGAACTACCATATGACCCAGAAATCCCACACCTAGGCATATATCTGGAGAAAACTATAGTTCAAAAAGATACATGCAGGGACTTCCCTGGTGGTTGAGTGGTTAAGACTTTGCCTTCCAATGTAGGGGGTGTGGGTTCGATTCCTGGTGGGGAGCTAAGATCCCACATGCCTTGCAGCCAAAAAACCAAAACATAAAACAGAAGCAATATTGTAACAAATTCAGTAAAGACTTTAACAATGGTCCACATCAAGAAAATCTTTAAAAAAAAAAAAAAAGATACATGCACACAAATGTTCATTGCAGTACTATTTACAATAGCCAGGACATGGAAGCAACCTAAATGTCCATCAACAGAGGAATAGATAAAGAAGATATAGTACATATATACAATGGAATATTACTCAGCCATAAAAAAGAACAAAATAATGCCATTTGCAGAAACATGGATGGACCTAGAGATTGTCATACTGAGTGAAGTAAGTCAGACACAGAAAGACAAATATCATATGATATCGCATATATGTGGAATCATAAAAATAAGAGGGTAAAAGTCACGGATGTAGAAAACAAACTTATGGTTACCAGGGGATAAGGGGGAGGGGAGGATAAATTGGGAGATTGGGATTGACATATACACACTACTATATATAAAATAGATAATAAGGACCTACTGTGTAGCACAGGGAACTCTACTCAATACTCTATGATGGCCTATATGGGAAAAGAATCTTAAAAAAAAAAAAGGAGTGTAGATACCTCATTGTAGTTTTGATTTTCATTTCTCTAATGACTAGTGATGTTGAGCATCCTTTCCTGTGTTTGTTGGCAACCTGTATATCTTCTTTGGAGAAAAATCTATTTAGATCTTCTGCCAAGTTTTGGATTGGGTTGTTTGTTTTTTTGATATTGAGCTGCATGAGCTGCCTGTATATTTTGGAGATTAAAGGAGTGTGTATATATATATATATATATATATATATATACATATATAACTGATTCACTTTGCTGTACACCTGAAAGTAAGACAACATTGTAAATCAACTATACTCCAATAAAAATATTTTTAAAAAGAAATTCTCTGCTTAGAAATAATCATAGTAATAAATAACTCAGGCAGTAAACATTAAGAAATGCTAATCTGAAGGTGTGACCAAGATGGTGAAGTAGGAAGACCCTGAGCTCACCTCCTCCCACAGGAATACCAAAATTACAACTACTTACAAAGCGACTATCTATGAGAATGACCTAAAGACTAGCAGAAACGATTTTCCACTACTAAAGAAATGAAGAAGGAACCACAACGAGATGGGTGGGAGGAATGGAGTCAGTATAGTCAAGACCCACACTCCAGAGTGACAACCCACAAACAAAAGAATAATAATTATTACAGAGGTTATCCCCAAGGAGTGAGGGGCCTGAGCCCCACACAGGGCTCCTTTGCCTGGGGATCCTGCACCGGGATGATGAGCCCCCAGAATTTCTGTCTTTGAAGTCCAGTGGGGCTTGTGTGGGGGAAAGCTGGAGGGCTGTGGGAAACAGAGACTGTTCTTAAAGAGCTCATGAAAAATTTCACATGCTCTGAGACCCAGCACAGAGGCAGTAATTTGAAAGTAATTGAAAAATATCAGCTTTTAAATTTATCTTCCACCGCTCATTTTTGTTTTCTATTTAATTAATTTAAAGCTTTTTTTAAATTTTACTGCTTTCTAGATTCATCTAGTCTCTCTAGTTTCCTATGGCGCACTGAGGTACTGAAACTTGAATCCAGGGAAGACAGGAAGTGCTAAGTCTGAGAGACACTAGAGAGCTGTATGGAGCTATCCTGCCATGGTCCCTCCTGCCCTCCTGTGTGACTGATAATGAGAAAGGATGTGGATGGGCCTCCTGGAGGAACGGCACCCAATTGCCCTATCTTTCCACTCTGAGTTCGGATACGTCTCTGACAGAAGGGAGGTGGACAGGTAATACAAGTTCCCATGGAGCTTGTTTGTGAGGAAGACTCAACTTATGTGGCATATATCCTAATCCTGATGTCATAAAGCAATTGTTAACTCATAGCTCTCCCCCTCATATTACTCATCAGACCTTAGGAAGTAGAGAAATAAAGGAACCATCTAGAGACAAGCCATGGGGGTTCGATTTTGTGTAAGAGACATGGCCAGATCCACTTGGCAGGCTTGAGGGTGGGTGGGAATCACTCTGGACTTCACAGCTTTGGGGAAAAAAGAGAATGCTGAGGCAGTGGGTATCTTTGTGGAGAGTCATAGAGAGAAACAGTACTCTTAGCTCATCCATTCATTTCCTGTTTAATTCTCATGACAGACAGAAGGCAATTTAATTTTAATTGTGATTGAGGATTCTGAAGACGAAATTAGGTTGAAGCAGAAGAAGAAGCAGAAGCAGAAGGAGCAGCAGAAAAAAGAGGTAGGTAAAATCTCTGTATAATTAACAGATATCCAGAACATTTATGTCAGTGTCATGAGTGTGTGGAATTGTGCCTCTTAGGGATCCAGAGTTTAAAGTAATCAGGAGTCATTTCAATACTGGCTTATTTTTCCTTCACTTCCTTCTCAGCATGAACTCTCTGGGTCTGGGTTTGACTGTGACACAAAGAGTGAGTGGAGAGAAGGAAAGCCATCAAGAAATGCATGGGCTGGGAGATGAGGATGTGAGGACTCTGAATTAGAAAGTAGAATGTTCACAGTATGGGGAGGCTGGGAGTAGAATATGTGATGAGGGTGTTAAAAACTCACCGCCATATTGAAATACACTGTTGTGGCAGAAAGAAATCAGCCAATGGGACTAGAATTAGCAGAGAATACCAGGCAAAAGCATTATGAGGCCAAACCTCCCAAACCCAATAAGCACTGAAGAGGTAGAGTACAACTAAGTCCCTCACATTCCTAATGCACCCTCCTAGTTACTAATGGTTTTTCTCTTGATCCATGCACCTGTGAGGTAGTCAAGAGGAGGATGCTATGACTGAGGGCAAGGTGATGTGTCCATGTTGGCAGAGGAGGACTCACCACCCAGGACTTCTGCCTCTTAGTTAGTGTCCTGCTAACTCCCCTGAAGTCTCCAAAGAAGGGCTGACTGTTAAAAGAATCAAGGCCCTTTCCAGGAATATCCTAGAAGTTGGTAGCAGGAAGTTCCCTGAGTGATCTCTCTTATCTCTGCCTAGAAAAATATAAAAGGAAGAATAAAAGCAGCCAAGAAGATCCAGGCCTGGTTGCGTGGAACCCTGGTACGCCAGACATTGTTACACGCAGCCCTCAAGGCCTGGATCATTCAGTGCTGGTGGAGACTGACAATGGACAGGCTGCGGCAGAAGCGGAGGGCAGCCCTGATTTCCTACGCACACACAGAGAGGGAAGTGGTCAAGCTCCAGTCTTTGGTCCGTATGTGGCACATCCACTGGTGATACTGCCAGGTGCTCAATGCCATCTACATGATCCAGTACCACTGGCAAGGCCACAACTGCCAGACCTGTGCTCTTCTCCAGGGCCACTGTGTAGTCACAGCCACTCACCTGTAGTTCCACATTGAAATCATCAACCCCTAAGGGATGGCAAGAAGCGGCACTGTCTCCTGTCCTCAGTAAAGGTCTAACCTGATCTGGTATGTCTCATGGTCTCCCCACCAGCTAATGGAAATTTTAGGACTTAAGCCATGCTGCCTCCTCTTCTCCCTGGGAAAGAACTTTAGTGAGGTTTTCCCCTTGTGCCCATGAACCCTGTTCTGGACTGACAATTCCATATGCTACTTACTTAGTTGTCAAAACAGAAACCGAGGTCCTAGTCTAATATAACAGAGCCAGAAGTCCCAGCTCCCATCCCCAGCCCCATTCCTTTCTTCTCGCCAGGAATCTGTGAGACAGGTGAGCTACATCTTCCTGAAGACTTTGGGTACCTCTGCACATGAGAACAGACAGTGAGGGTCTTCTCTGTCCGCCTGCAGTTGGGGATTGACTGGGATCTCAGATGCCTCAGACAAGGTATCTTTGGCAATCACCTAGTGAAAAGGTCAGCATGTGGCTGACTCTTCTGGTAGAAGTGCAGTGCAGCCCCAGGTAAAGGACAGGAGGCCGGCCTTAGTGATAGATGTGACTGGGCATGCTGACGAGCAGGTGATGACCCTGGGGACTGGTAGAAAATAGGAGTTCATGGCACTTCAACTCCATCTTCACAATTCCCTTATCAGAACTCCTCTCCCTGAGGGCTGTGTAGCAAACAGGGCTCCCCATGATATTACCCTCATCCCTACTCTTGTCTCCATTCTCACTCCCATGGTCATACTAAAGCAGTGCTATACTCAGTAGCAATTTCTGTGATGATGGAAATGTTCTGTATCAGTGCTGTCCAGTGTGGTAGCCACTAGCCACACATGGTTGTGGAGCACTTGAAATGTCCCTGGTGCAACTAAAGAATTGACTTTTAAATTTTATTTAAATTAATTTATGTTTAAATAGCCACATATGGCTAGTGGCTATTCCATTGAATAGTGTGGCTCTAGACCTTACCATTACCAATCAGTGTACTGTTGCCCAAATTGCTTTTTCTGGAGTTTCATTCTCTTTTTACTTTATTCTCTCCTTCCAGTTCACCTTTCAAATACCCCTAATAGAATGTTTCTTCAGATGTGATAAAGTCTTCCAATCTATTGACCCTACCAATTTTTTTTACAGCCATCACCCTGACAAACCCTTGTATCTCTCTTTACCCAGTTCAGATTCTATACTTAATTATTGTAATCTCTCCCCTGAACAACTTGACTTCCCTTGGCCCTCTCTCTGCAAACGTATGTGGGATGAACTTAATTATCTACCTGCTCTGTGCCTGCAGAAGAGTGGCATGGCTAGAGCAAAACACCCATGAGGCATGGTCTCGGTTCATATTCATGACTGCAAATCTCCATTGGACAAATTTCCCAATAAATTTATCTGGTGTGTTTGCATTTCTTTTCTCTGAATTGAATAATTCATACCACCTCCTCTCCAAATGCCCAATTCTACTTCTCCCCTTGAACTCCATAATGATGATATATGTCACCACACACTTAACGGAAGAAATGGGAGCAGACTGGACCTCCATCTTCCTACCACCTCATTCTCCACCCCAGCTCCATCTGGACCACACTTGCTGCCTTCCCTCCAAGTGAAATAAATGAAGGGTCTTTGATCCCATCAAAGGTTAACTCCTCCATTATCCTGCTGCCATCTCAAGGTGTTTGATCCTGCATTCATAACCCCACTATCCAAATTATCAATGTCTACCTCTTCCATCTTTAAAAAATACGATCTTAATTTCTTTTCCAGTTCTCTGTTTCTCCTCATAACAAATCATGCCATCACTGTTTCCACTTCTGTTCCTACTATTTTCTCTTCAGCCCATTCCAATCAGGCTTCTACCCCTCTTACTTCGCTGACACTGCACTCATCAACATCACCAACATTGCAACTGACCAAATCCAATGGTTATTTCTCTGTTCTTATGCATTCTCTCTACATTAGGCTACAGAGTTAATTACTCCCTTCTTATTGAAATACATAATTTTTTAAAGGCAAACAACAAAAATCATATCACTTAATCCACAATACTTTAATATATATCTTTAATAGATGAGACCTTTGTAAAAATATAACCTCAATATTATCATATCTATCAACAGTCACAATAATTCATAGAATATATATGTAATATCATATATCTTAATATCATAGAATATATATGTACCTAATAACTGAGCTTCAAGATACATAAAGTAGAATTCCCCTGTGCCCCTTTGTGGTCACCCACTACTCTCCACCAAACCCTAGCAACCACTGGTCTGTAATATGTACGTATTGTTTTCCCTTTTCCAGAATGTCATGTAGAAGGAATAATAATTTGTAGCCTTTTGAATCTGGCTTCTTTCATTTAGCATAATGTGTCTGAGACCTGTGGTGTTGTGGGTACTCATTTGTTTTAATTGCTGAGTGGTATTCCATTGTATGGATGTTATCAGAAATTTTTACCAGTTGAAGGGTCTTGGAGTTGTTTCCAGTTTGGGGTGATTTACAAATTAATCTGCTATGTATATGTGTGTTTTTTTGTGTGAACCTAAGTTTTGCACTTTATTTGGTTAAAAACCTAGGAGTGAGAGCTTCCAATTTTGGTACAAGATGGTGTCAACTAATTTTCCCTTCTCCTCCCCTCTAAATACAAACTAAATACTCTGAAAATAATTCAACAATCATAAAAGGACTCTGAAATATGGAGAGATGGCGGATAATCTAGGAGTCTCAAGATTTTAAAAGGTACACCTAGATGAATTCTTGTTTTATCTGTCATACATCTCAGACTGGACACCAGATACGTCTGCAACCTAAAACCAACAACAGGCATAGGGAAAGCTAAACAAAACAAACAAAACAAGAAAAGCATGCTCTCTCTGGTCAAAAGAAGGGGAAGCCCAGCAGAGACTAAGCAGGGAGACTCACGCCTAGTGGCAAGAGCAGACTGAATTGCCTACGGTACCCTTATAAGCCAACCCATCCCATGCCCCACATGCACTGGCAACAACAGGCATGATCTGCTCACAACAGCAGCAACAGTGCAACCCAGGCTTATCCACCCACTCCACACCCCACATCCATTAGCAGTGGTGACCCAGTCTGTCCTCAGCAGCAGTAAAAGCAGAACCCATGTGGGCCAACACACTTCATTTCTCATCTGCTAACAGAAGCAGGCTTGATCTACCCACAGCAGCAACAGCAGAACCTGAGCAGATCAACCCATCTCCTACCCCAAACTAAATGGGAAGAGAGAGGGGATCCTCCTGTACCTCACTCCAACAAGCCTAGTATCTCCTGGCCTTCCAGTCAGTGGCAGAGGCAATCCAGACCTAGCAGCCCCTGGCCATCCAGCCAGCCACAGAAGAAGATCCAGAATAGGAACTTCCTGTCCCTCCACCCAACAGCAAAATGCAGTCCAGGTATCCCTTCTCTCCTCCAGTGGCACCAGCAGAGACAGAGTGGGAAACCCACTGACACCAGGTGGCCAGTGAACAGGCTAGGATATTGCTCTCTACCTCAGAAGTCCAACATCCTAAACCCTCCATCTAATGGCAAGAGGGAACCCAGGAAAATGGCTTCTACCTTGTAGGTGGCACCAGAAGGGATCCAGTGGAACCAAAAGAATAAAGCAGACCAGAATTGCATTGAAAGAGCCCAGAAAAGATAATTCTCATTGGAAACAGGGCCCACAAAAGTAGGCCAGCATCTACAAACTAAACCTAAATAGGATGTTGCCTTCTAAAATAGAAGATTTAAATAGCATTGAGAGCCTCCTAATATAATATCCAAAATGTCCAGCATACAATAGAAAATCACTCATCATACCAAGAACCAATAAAAGTATGATGTTAGATGTGGATTCTCTTTATCAAGTTAAAGTTAGGTAGTTCCCTCTATTCCTAACTTGCTAAGAGTTTCGTTTTTATCATGAATGGGTGTTGGATTTTGTCAAATGGTTTTTCTGTTTCTGACTATAGTCATATGATTTTTCTTCTTTAGCCTGTTGATATGGTGGATTGATTAATTTTTTAATGTTTGAAGTAGCCTCGCTTACCTGGGATAAATTTATACTTGGTGCTGGTGTATAATTTCTTTTGTACCTTGTTAGGTTTGATTTTTACCTCTACGTTCCTGAGAGATACTAATGTACACTTTTTTAAAAATTCCCTTTGTCTGATTTTGATATCAAGGTAATACTGACCTCATAAAAATTGGGAGCATTCTCTCCTTTTCTATTTCCTGGAAGACACTATGTAAAATTGGTGTGAAAATTCTTCTTTAAATATTTTGTAAAAATTCTTTAGTGAAGCCATCTGGGCCTGGAGATCTCTTTTTAGAGAGCTTTTAAATTACAAATTCACTTTCTTTAATGGCCAAGGGACTATTCAGGTATCTGTTTCATCTGATTGGGTTGGTATTGTGTAACTTTCAAACAGTTGATCAATTTCTTTTAAGTTGCTGAATTTATGAGAATAAAGTTGTTCATAGTGTGTTTCCTTATACTTTTTTTAATATTTTATTTTATTTTTTTAATACAGCAGGCTTTTATTAGTTATCCATTTTATACATTTTAGTGTATATATGTCAATCCCAATCTCCCAGTTCATCCCACCACCACCACCACCCCAATTTCCCCCCTTGGTTCCATACATTTGTTCTGTACATCTGTGTCTCTATTTCTGCCTTGCAAACCAGTTCATCTGTACCATTTTTCTAGATTCCACATATATGCTTTAATATACGATATTTGTTTTTCTCTTCCTGACTTACTTCACTCTGTATGACAGTCTCTATGTCCATCAGCGTCTCTACAAATGACCCAATTTCGTTCCTTTTTATGGCTGAGTAATATTCCATTTTATAAAGAAGATGTACCACATCTTCTTTATCCATTCGTCTGTTGATGGGCATTTAGGTTGCTTCCATGACCTGGCTATTGTAAATAGTGCTGCAATGAACATTGTGTACATGACTCTTTTTGAATTATGGTTTTCTCTGGGTATATGCCC